CATGCAGGCTCTTCTTCTGAAAGATGACCAAAATTCAGTATTAACACAGCATGGGAAAAATGCCCTGAGTATAATTTAGTTGTAATAATTGATCGGCCATTTTGAGTAAAAAGCCTTTAAGGAGCAGAGGGGAAGATTACCCGGGGGAGAGGCGTGGTACATGTTAGCTCTGCTGTGCAAAATGGTTAGTACCTTGGGAAAAATGGGATGCTTCATGAAACCAGTGTCTCCTGTTTAGTCCAATGTTTCTGGGAAATAATTCAGCCATGGAAACTCAGACTAGCTCTGTGGAGGTGGCTCACGTGTGGTATCCCTCTGTGACCTTAGAGCTTTTTCAAGCTTATATCTAAACATACTTCTTTATGTCTCCTCGACTGCCTGTGAAGCCTGTGACTGTGACCCAGAAGGCACACTGCACGACGGTCTGTGTGAAAGCCGCTCAGACCCTGTTCTGGGAACTATTGCTGGTCGATGCCCTTGCAAGGAGAACGTGGAAGGAGTCCGCTGTGACAAGTGCAGGCCAAACTACTATGGCCTGAGTGGCAATGACCCTCTAGGCTGTCAGCGTATGTAAACCACCTCTTTCATTCTTCTTTCCAAAGCATTTTTAAGCGAATGAGGTAGTAGAACTCATAGAAGCACGCACTAACACATAGATACTACCTGCTTTACAAAATACCCAGTTGCCTAGTGTAATTTAATGTCAGGGACATTAAATTCCTGAGGAAGGCAAAGGTCATCAGGACTGAAAAGATATAAAATAATTTGCAGAATACATGGTGTATTATAAAAGATAAGAATGTTATTAATAGAAGGATTGTTGAATAGGCAATTTCAATGAAAATGAAATTTTATTAAAATAACATGAATGTTATTTTATAATCAAAATCAGCATAAGAATGATTTAAGAGTCATAGAAAGGATCCCAGGAATCACTCCGAGGACACGTGGACTCTACCTAGCACAGCGCAGTGTCAAGATGACCCAGCCCCGGCCCCAGAAGTTGTCTAGCTGCAGTGACGGGGAGATCAAGGCCAGCTCATTTACCCAGATGTCACTTTTCAGTGCTTGCTTCTCAACTGAGGTGTCACAAATTATGCAGGGGAGGTGCAGTCACACGCAGGCTAACTTGATGTAAGCGTTTCCTAGTACCATTCCTCCCACTCTGGGCGGTAGTGCCGGGGCTGTAATGTTCTGCTTGCCACTCCTTAAGGTTCCCAGTAACTAAGAGTAGTGTCTACAGAAAATACCTATGGCTCTTTCTGGGAAGTCATGGTCTCAACTGTTCTTTTAAATGTGTTTAGAAGCCATTCATCAGGAAGCAAATATATATCTTAGGAAGAGGAAAATGGAAATACCATCCAAATCCACTCATTCCACTCATTTTAGGTTCCATGCTCAAAAAATAACTAACATAAAATGAGGAGAAATTCACGTGGGCCAGCAACAAGTCTTCTTCGGTATGAACGCTCCTTCTGCCTAATAAGACCATGATTTCGCCTCCTTTGCTTCGTTTCTAAATTTTTGGGGCAGTGTTTTGGGGCTCTTCATGCACAGCACTGAAGCAATAGGGGAATGAGAAAGCTGCTGACTGCTTGTCTTGAGAGCTTGCCGCCAGGCATTTCTCTGAATGAGATTCACTGAACAACACATCTTTCTCCTGCTCAGGGACATTCTGAATTTGTGAACAAAATTTGAGGATCAGCACGTAGGCATGCACAGAAAATCACTGCACTGGACTTCTGCCAGTCACTCCCTGTTCCCCCCAGAGAGGTTCCACCAAGGAAAAGGTCCATCCCCTAAAAACAATCAGGTTGCTGCGAAGTGTCAGGGGATGTCAGTCTGCTGAATATTTACCTGGACGATTGAGACTGCCTGTCACTCTGATGTCACTTCTGAAGCAAACGTCAGCTCTGCTGCTCTCAGCGGTGCCCGCAGAAGTAACCACGCGTTTCTTTCCTTGCAGCTTGCAACTGTGATCCCTCTGGCAGTTTGCCTTTCTCCAGCTGTGATCCTGCCTCTGGAGAGTGCCTCTGTCAGCGGTATGCCACTGGGCGACGCTGTGAAAAATGTGTCGTATGTATTCAGACAGTTTTTCCTGTTACACTGTATTGGGTCTTGTCTCATGTGGTTTTAGAAGATTCCTCTCCCATCTCCTTCCTCCTTGTGGGCTCTGCGATGGCATTTCGTCAAAGGAGAAAATGGCATATGTTCTGTGTATGCTACGTCGTTTCTTAGGCATTTAGAATTAGAATGAATATGAAAACAGTTTGTCTTCACTCAGGAAGTCTCTCCGCTGTAGCAGGTGCAGCTTGAGGATTTTAGCCCTTGGTGGTGCCTGCATTGGCTTTACTCTGTGTTCATGGAATAGGATTGGGCCTTCGGGTGATGAAACCAGCAAGAGCCTCAGCTGTCCCTGTAAATGTCCTCAGATTCTCCACTCAAAGCCTGTCCTCAGCAGACTAGATACAGGAAGGAAAGATGAGTGTGAAAAGAAGGATTCCACTGTGTTTTGAGATATGAACTACTGCTACCGTGGGAGTCAGCCTGCAGGGAAGGACAGGAATAGATGTGGATTTAGCTTTTCTCAAAATATTTGCAGTTGGTACGCTAACAAAAACTAGCATTTTGTAGTATCTCTTCCTTCGTTATGAAGGGAACATTGAAGGAACGTCGTTACCAGAAAATTAGACTTAGTCAAAATTCAAAATACTTTTATGGCTATACGCTTGCATTTTGCATTAATACATTCGATTCTTCTGTTTTTACTGCTTGCGAATATTTGTGCAATCAAATTGTACTAGGAGCAGCACTCATGGAAAGGAAAGGAAATGCAAAATCACATGCTCAAACCATCTTTGCTGCTCCCAGTGCAACTTGATTGGACAAATGGGTAAAAATCTGGCCCGTGTGGTGTCTGAGCACCTGAGTAACAGAAGCAATCTTACAGCGTCAAGTGGCCAAGCACAGGTAGGCAGCCTGGAAACAGTCCACAGATGTGAAGGACTCCGAGAGCAAAGCACTCAGAGCTTATTGCATCTATCTACAGAATTAAAACAGTTTTAAATAGTAGAAGAAACAAACAAAAAAGGGCAGAAAATTGCCCTGTTTGTACAAATTTTGTAGTCAGAGAAAGGGCTAGACATAGGAGATATACTCTGTGGACAGTGTAGTATGGCTTATAGAGCAGTTTTGTCTTTTAGGACTTGAGCCTTAATGACACACAGATGCTTAACTTTACTCTGGAACTATGGTTCCAGAGGATTGTTCATCCAGGGAAGTAAATTATGTTGTGCTTTACGTACTTAAATATTTTCTGTAAAAAATCATTTGCTTTCTTTTTATCCTAGTTAGGATACTGGGGCCTCGGCAAGAGCTTGTATGGTTGCTCTCCGTGTGACTGTGACATTGGGGGATCCCAGAATAATTTGTAAGTTAATGTTCTCCTTGAAGTTTCTTCTTGGTTTTAGTTTTGTAAACTCTCAGGCTAGACTTTCTAATTAGTTTCATACAGTCTCAGTACAAATGAGAAAAAGGATTGAAGACATAATTTTGTCACATGCCAGCACTATAAAGGCATGTTGGGATCCTGGAAATTTATTTGTGATTTTAAAGAGGATTTACCTTTTTTCTTTTGAAGCCAACTTTGAATCACATGGAATCAAGATTAGTTTAATAAAAAACTATCTAGTTTGAGAGAACCAGAGGTTCTAATATTAGTAGAAATTAGCAGTAAGTTAGGGTTGACATTTTTAACTTAGCTTCCAACGTCCACTTTAAAAGCTAGAAATACCTTATTTTTTTCAGAGGTACTGGGCTCCTATTCAAAAGGTATCATTTTAGACACAAGCTTTATTTCATTTGTGCTCCTCTAGGATTTAGATCATTAGTTGTTAGATTTCAAATATAGGTGCATATAATCCAATCCCACAGAACAGTTCGTCAATATGCTCAGTGTGTACTAAATCATAGCTAGCCTTTATCTGATGTGTTAAATAAGAGCGTAGGTATATGAACACTACCATTTTGCATCAAATCAAAAGTCCTTCTGATCTAATGTTCTCTCTCTAGAAATGATTGGTGATAAAGCCTTAAGAATAGTAATAGATGCAGTAATAGATATAATTACAGAATACAAAACACAGAAACAGATATAATAATAGGTAATAATAGATGCTCAGGAAACAAAGGAATCTGTGCTTCGGACTATGGAACGGAGCAAAAAACAAAAAGCAGAAAAAGAAAGAGCCTGTCACATCTCTCTTAAGTGATGCAAAAAGTAGCATTGAGTAAATTCAGCATCAGAGAGAGGAAACAGATGGTGGGTGGCAGGAAAAAGTTGTATAACAGATCCAGTCTGATGATGAAAGAAACAAAACAAAGCTGAGATAAAGGAGGAATTTAGCTCCTTTCATGCTCGGAGAACCCAAGTGTTTTATGCTCTCATATACTTCCTTTGCCAACTCCTGTCCTAGGTGCTCACCGAAGGATGGTCAGTGCACGTGTCTTCCCAACATCGTGAGCCGCCAGTGTAATGAACCAGCCTCAGGCTACTTCTTTTTACCCCTGGATTATTACATTTATGAAGCTGAATATGCAAAGCCCCTTTCTGGGTCTGCACCTTTGGTACGTTGTATGCTTTTTAGACATTGAACTGAGAGGAGATTCATATGGTGGCTGCAGGGGAGCCAAAGCTGAGGAGGGCAGCTGTCTCGGGGGAGCAGCCAGAGCTGCTCTTTAGCAGGACGGTACAAAGCCGATCCCACAGCCCCATCAATTTATCCTGGTTTCCATGGACGTGACTGCACCTGAACTGTGGCAGTCACCAGGGAGCAGTCACTGCAGCATGGTGTGACCATGTGCTGTCCCTGCTGCTCTTCAAGTGGGGGCTGGTCTAGTATAAATTAGAGCAATTACTTTAATTAATTAAATTAGAAGATGTATTTGAGTTACCAACAGCTTCAGGAGGAGCTATCACAAATTCTGATATTTCTGGGAAGTTCCAACAGGGGAGAAGAACCAAATTCCTCTCTGATCCATTGGACTCCGTTCTTGCTGCCTTGTATTGTGGCACTGATTACAGCCCAATTTCCTCAAGAATTTGGCATCCATTCATAATTTTTTTAGAGTACTTATTATTATTATTATTATTATTATTATTCACAAAATTAGTGTAGTTGTTGCCTATCCAGGAGTACAAGTCCAGCCTTGCTGGAATGTGTCCCTTCCTCTGCCTACATTTTTACTAATGTAAAAATCTCTGAAACGTTGTCCAGAAACTATAGAGAAGGGATAATAAAAAAGATGTTTATTTGCAGGTCACATCCGAAAATATTTAGCTGTAATCACAACCAGTAATCATCCTACAATCCAGTAATGAAATGGAAAACAGATGTCTGGGACATAGCTTATGAGAGGAAGTACAAGTTAATTGTGACAGAGTGAAAAAGTTTCCAGCAGTTGCTGGGCCCTATTTTAGAGTTTCACCAGCAGAAAATAGAGCTTGTGTTTCGAATGTGGATTTGTGTTTAGCTGCTTACCCTTCAAAATAGTTCAGACAATGCTGTCTCCTCCCTCATTACTTTTGTTTTTTAGATTAAAGCAACAGCTCTTCCAAGGTGTGACATCTATTTCCAAAAGCAAGGATATGAGTTCACAATAGAAAATGGAAAGATTGTGTTAAACAGGAGCAGGAAAAGAAGTGTAAGAAAAGCAGGGTTGGAACAGGTAAATGGGCTCTTTAATAGTTATTTAGCAAAAGATTACACCAAATACTAAAATATAATTTTGCAACAGAAGATTGGGCAAGGAAATGTATTAAACCATCAGTGACTGAACATTCACCGTCCTAGACATTACAATCCTGATACAAATGAAATAAATATTTAGTACATAACTGGATACACAGCATTTTATAATTCACACAGGCAGGTTTATTTTGCTATGCCTAGCACAGTTTGTAGGCTCAGGTTCAATGAATTGTTTGGAAGGGAAGAGCCCCCATTAAAACAAACCTTTTCTTTGTGTGAAAGACATTTTCAGCATCAAAGCTGTACTGAGATGCTTACATGTACCTATATACTTAAATGTTGTCAGCTTTGTCATTGTAAGTATTGATATTTATGGAATGTAAATTGTACTGAAAAATATGCCCATGCTTAATTCTAAAACAGAAGGGGCTTTTCAGCTCTTTTTTAAAATAGTGTAACATTTACCTGGAATATATATATATATATATATATATATTTATATATATATATCTGTATATGTGTAGGCACATGCATGTGCATTTTCTAAATAGAACTATCACTATTTTAAAATACGTCTTAATACATTTCCAGTATTTCTGGGGGGAAAACGTATTGCACAGATACAAATACTTATCATGAAAAGTCCAACCATGTTCAAAATCAAATTTAATCCATTTAAGGTTTGCGATGTGAATGCTTGGAGATGTCAAATACACAGAGATTGGTGAAATTTAGTCTAATCCCTCTCACTGTTGTCGTTGCAAAGCTATGGGAAGTTTTTCTCTATGAGTGACCCTAATCTTCCTACACTTGAGAGAGTTCTTAGATTGTGAATCTAGAGTATATTTAGAAAATTAGGCTGACTAATGGCTGAAATAACTAAATTACGTGGCAAAAATCCTTCCTTTTTTTCTGAATTTATATTTTCATAACTTGACTGTGCTTATTGGTGAAAAAGTCGATATGTCTTTGCAGGGTACAGTTCAGTCTGGACAAACCTCCGCTGTGGCGGGTGTTTTTAGGCAGCCCAGCCCCAGCAGGCCTGTCACGTGGACAGGACCGGGCTTCGCTCGCGTTCCCAGGGGAGCTGGACTGAGATTTACCATCAACAACATTCCCTTTGCTATGGACTTTGATATCATCATCCGTTATGAGCCTGAGGTACTTGTGATGTCTCCATGCAGGGTCTATTTTGCCAGCAATACGACATGGCAACTCCTCTCTCTCTTTGTGTTTAAAGTTAAAATTGTTAGCCCTTTCTTCCTTATCAGGGGAGAAATACCATGCCCTTTGCCAATCCTCTTAACTCTTTCCACTCTTATCTTAAAAAAACAGAATTACAAATACTTCCTAGCCATGAGCCAAGATTTCATCTTCTGGAGTTTCTGATCTATTACTTCTGCTTGGATTGGACTTTTGTCCACAGATCAGACACATGCAAAATACAGCTCCTTTTAGATAGGTATCCCATATTTCTAGCTGGGATTTCCTGAGCAGGAATATTTGCGCATAAAGGAGTGGGCTGCTCTGTGCATACAGCATGGGTGTTTGTCCAGGACTTTTGCAGACATCGAGCTTCCCAGTTGCTCCAGCTGGGCTGTGAGGTGTATGAACATTGTAGGAAAATAGCCAAAAACTTATTTTCTGCCTGGACAGAATTTCTCAATGATGAAGACACGTCTAGGAAAATCTGTTAACACAGATCTAGTTAAATCCAAGACTGGACCCATGTGCTCAAAAACATATGCAAGTATTTTGTCTTTACCACTGTTTGTACATGCCTTGTTCTTTCCCATCGCAGCTCCCTAGAATAATCATGCCATTTGAGATACTCACTCTGCCTACTATATTCTGCTATTTTCCTGTCATTCTGAGGCCAACAAAATTTCCATTGTCTTAAAATGTGAAAATAGACATTTAATAATTTTGCAGTAGGCTGGTTTGATGTAGATTGTTCTGTGTATGAATTAGACAAAACAGTGAATTTTAAAGACTCCTGTTACAAAGTCTTTTATGTTTGTAATTCTTTTTTAGATGCAAGTAGGGGTGCATAATGGATGATTTCTCTGGGACACCACTGTGCTAAGAATGGAAAGAGCTCCACTGACTTCAGCAGAATCGTTGCCATTTGCACCAGCTGTGGTCCATTTGCATTACTCCAGTTGCATTGGCCATGGCAAATTTTTCACAAACAGCCTTTTTTTTGAATCTTGTAAAGAACAAAGGGGAAATCTGTTCTCTCACTGCAATGTGCTGTCAGTCAGTTGGCTTTCAGTAACCATGGCAAGGAGAAAGTGGGTTTTTCAGGTGTGAAAAATGATCATAATTTTTTTGCTTTGTTTATAGTCCTTGGAAGACTGGCTAGCAAGTCTTGCCATTCAACCCACTGGTATTTTGTCAAGTCAGCGCTGCAAAAACAAGGCCGTTTCACAGGAGTCACATGCACTGGCTCTTCCAGCTATGAAAAGGTCTGTCTATTCCTGTCCTTACACCTGTAATTTTCTGTACACAGAAATCTTTTACTGAGGCAGAGCAGTCGATGTGGGAGAGTATTAGAATATTAGAAACACACATTGTGGCCTTTCCTCTTGCTGTCACACCACAGTACCGCGTAGACCTAAGGAATAAACTGAGAATCTGATGCTTCAGTCCTCAGTCTGGCAAAGGTTTGCCAAAGCAAGGAGAGCAGCCTTGTATCCTGCTGGGGTTAGTCGTTGCTTTGGCAAAAAGGCAGTTAAAGCTATTTCAGTATAGAAGGGCAATACTGATTGAAAGACGCTGTCCTAGCCTATTTTCAAAACAAGGTTTTCAGCTTGCACTTGTGGAAAGAACAGAAAGGAGCTGAGAGGACTTACCAAAGTCTGATCAAACAGCAGCAGAAAAGGACTAATATGAATAGTGAGCTGCAAACTCCTTTGCTTGGTGGGATGAAACCTGCCATTTTCAGTTTAACCTCACCATGTGCAATCAGACAGGCAGAAGTCGTGTAGCTTTCCCAAAGGCAGTGACGTGGGGGCCTGCAAGCTGGGATGCGTTTGGGAAATGGAGGGGGCTCTGCAGCAGGGCTTGCTCGGGTGACCATGGCCAGCACCAGGATGTGGGCAGAGAGAGGCCTTCCTGCTCTTCTGCAGAGGAGGGACAGCTCATGACACCCCATAAACTTACGTTGTGCTGCTCTGCTGAGAGACCCCTGACTCCTGGCCTTAACTGTGCTTTATTTCTGCTAAACAGAATTGCCCTTCTGCAAATACCAGTATGTTTAGAGCCACGAACAGAATATTCTGTGGATGTTTATTTTTCTCAGCCGTCTGCCTCTGACCCAAAGGTTAAATCATTCATCTTGATCGACTCAGTGAGTAATTCTGTCACAAATCCCTTTAAGCTGTATTTATACTGGTTTGATTTTTTTTTTACATAGACATTCAAAATATTTAAAAATCGTTATAAATTTGTTTTATCAGAAATTCAGAGAAGTGAGCTTCTGCTTACCTCTGTTTGTACTGGGTTTACATATTTTTGTATAGAAAGACAGAATTTTATTTTTTAATTTTTATGGAGCAATATCACAATAGCTCATCAAGTCACAGTTGTTGCATATGTTAACAGTCAGTTAGAAGATGCACCTCTATTGGTTGCTTATTTATTACGAGCACACTCCACATATGCTGACAAGATGCTGTGGTTAGGGATATACGTTCAAGCAGTTCTTCATCTGGGTTTTTTGAAAATCTATAAAATTCGTCTGATTCTAATTAAAAATGATGGGTATGTTTAAAGCCCTAACATTGGAAAATAAAATCAGACCTGCACTTACCCTGGAATCAGGTCCAGACGTTTCCCAAGTTTCCAAGAACTCAGGAACTGGGTGTTAGCTTTGGGCCCTTCTCTTGAGACCTTTGAAAAATATTTTAAAATCCGTTCCTCTAATTATCTCTGTAGAAGTGAACTTGACAAGGGCTGACCATACTTGGACATAAAATCTTCAACTGACTTTTCTCTGTCTCAGTAATACAAGTACAAATTTTGGCCAGATACTGCTTTCGGAGTCATACGTATGGCACCTCTTAGCAGTAAAACCAGTTCTGTGCTTACATCTGAAGTCTTATTATAACTAGATTTTTTTAATATGCAGTCTATTTTATTGGAAGAACTCAAGGAATGTCTAGAACTTTCAAATAAATGTGAATTTAGATGACTGAGCAGCCCAGTGACAGATTTAAAAATGTGGTGCTCAAGGCCTCTGTCCTTGCAGTGCCGAGCACAGTAACAGAACGTAGGAAATTCTAGTCTTCAGCATATCTAAGCATAAATATTTTCTTTTCTTTCTTAATGCCAAAGCTTGGACTTATTCCCAGAATCAGCTCTGTGGAGAACTTGTGCAGTAAAAAAGATTTAGATGAGTACCAGAAGTATCACTGTATTGAAATTGCATCAGAAGTTGGACCTCACATCCTGCCTGAAGCATGTGCAAGGCTCATAGCAAGCTTGTCAGCTCGCATTCACAACGGAGCTGTTGGTAAGGAGCAACCTGAACAGATAGTTATTTTGAACTGTTACTGATTTTACCTTGGGTGTGAAGGATATTTTGACTGGTGAGCTCTCAGCCTGTGGCAGTGTAGGTAGGTGAAGCTTATCAGCACATGGTGTATATGAACAGGCAGAATATGTCCTGTTGAACCCCAAATGCCCTACAAAGAACTTTCTGTGGTATGTGTCCCTTGGCATGTCACGCGTGATAGACTTTGTGGAACATGGAGACAGGAACCATGGCAGTGCTTGTGCATTTCTCAAAGAATGTTGCAACCAGATGCAGCTTCACCAGATGGCCAAAGCGGTCACCCATAAGCGTTAGCGCTGGCATTAGCACTGGCTGGTACTTTTCTAATTGCCTGAAAATGGCATAGGAGATTTTAAGCCCTCAGCCACAGATGCAGGGGCATGGATAGTACACAAGCTTATTACTTGAAGAGATTCGGCAAGAAAATCTCACTGGTCTCCTAGGAAGAGGGCAGAAACAGGTGGCGTTTGAAGCCCTGGGCAATCTCCTGGACTTACTGGTGGAAGGGCAGCTTGTAGCTCAGCAGCTAAGTTGACTTCTCTTATGTTGGACCTGTAGCTGTGGAGCTTCTTTGTACTTCCACTAACAGGAGGTGCCTTTCTGGGCAACTTTGAGGGCCAGCTCCTTGCAGGACCCTTGCCTCCAGTGGACTTGATAGCTTCTTCTTTATTTTGGCTATTTTTAGAACAGATGCTCACTCATACATCATGCGATATGGTCATGATTATGCAGCCACAGAGTCCCCCTCATTTATGTTAGGTCTGTGTTGACTGTCCATTAGCCTCATCTCCACAGTGATATGATTCTCGCTATGAAACACTGGCACTGTGGCTTTCTAGAGTTAGTATCCTGTGAAATAAAATAAAGTTTTATTGTAGAGACCCCAAGTAGAAGAGATCTTGGGATGCTAGTTTCTGGAGGCAGCAGTGCACTCGATGTCCTCAGGGAAACAGTACCCTGAGCCCCACTGCAAGGTGGGAGGCAGTGCTGTGACTCAGTTAGCAAACATTGAGTTCCACGGTCTCAGTGCTTACCTGCATGATTGGTGGTAACAGTGGCTTGTGTGCCAGAGGATATCCGAAGTGGCACCCCCAGTTCTGTTTGGGAAGTCCTAGAGAGAGGTAGACACGAACACAAGGTGAAGTTCAAGATGGTTCCAGACATCCAGTAGCTTGGGCAGAGCACCAACAGCTGGAACAGCCTCTGAGCATCCTGCACAAATATCCTCTGTGAGTTTTCAGACCAGCTTCACTTGCCAAGAATAGTCCAAGCTTTCCAGAAAGCAGCAGGCTTCATGAACAGGTGCAGGCTAAGTATTGCATGCAGATTATGTCCAACATTACTGCTAGATGAAGACATACATCAAACACTTCTGGACTTCAGGCTATCTCTGTTCGGATCTACATTTCGATACGCCCTCTCCTGTCCTATCCCGAGTACAGGCTGAGGCAGTGCCCTGAATGTGACAGCTCCAACATCAAGACTTGTGCAGGTGCCTGATACACCATCATCATTTGTACAAAAAATATCAAATAATCCAAGCTACGGCTATCAGTGGTTAGTGAATCCGTGATGTGAGGTAGTCAAGCTCTTTCCTTCCCATTTTTAGTGTAAAACCTGCAAGTGCATGAGAACAAACTCATTTGCTTTGTTTTGTTTTTAACTAAACCTGCTCTGATTTTCTTTCCTGTTGACAGCATGTAACTGCAATCCCCAAGGGTCGCTGAATACCAGCTGCAGTAAACTTGGGGGCCAGTGCCAATGCAAAGCTAATGTCATGGGCCGCTGTTGTGACACATGCTCGGCAGGGAGCTACGGCTTTGGACTCCACGGCTGCTACTGTGAGTACTCGGCAGTGCCCCCTATGAAGCCCTCTCAAAGAGGGCTTTGCCCATCCCTCCAGCTAACTTCACTTGAGCTTTTAGGATCAAGGCTGTCTTCTGTCCCAGCCACTTCTATGTGGCTTTGCACTTGCTGACTTTTTCAGGGGATGCGGAAATGAAAGTAGAAGGGTCAGTGCCTAGTTCCTCCTGGCTGGAAACACACAGTTCCAGAGGTCTTAGCACAGAACCTCTTCTCACATGATTTGTTGCCCTCTCCTCAGATTTGCAAACTATTCCATTTAATATAATGATTGAATACTGATTTTCAAAGTATTCCCTTGCAAAGCTTTCAGTACCTGGCTCTTCACGCACACCAAAGCTTTCAGGACTTTGAATCCATTGTTTTGTCCAAAACAATGTGCAGAATGTTTCCACAGAATTAAAAAATGTACCCATCCTTGGGGCAGGTCTGAGTGGAGCAAACATTGCATTCTAGAGGTGTCAGTGATGACCAGCATGGTGGGAATAGGTTCAGGACGCCACGTTGCCTTTGCTGTTTTCCAGTATGTGAATGCAACCCCCGAGGCTCCGTGAGCACGCTGTGCGACCAGGTGACGGGGCAGTGCTCTTGCCGCCGAGAGGTTGATGGTCAACGCTGCAGCCGCTGTCTGGCAGGGTATTTTGGATTTCCCAACTGCCGCCCTTGCTCGTGTAATGGCTACGCAGAGCTTTGCGACCCGGTAACTGGAGCTTGCTTGAACTGTGGAGGGTTTACAGCTGGAAGCCGCTGTGAAAGGTAGGTAATGGGCGCTCGTTGCAAAGCTTGCCCCAACAGTGGTGGCTCTTTAAAACACGTATTTTGCTGGGGGCCAGCCCTGCTTCACAGTTAAAGTGGGCCTCACTGCTGAATGGCAGGTGCATATTTGTTCAGCAAATGCAAGTGGCGAGGTGCTGGACTATCTTAACCGTTTGGGAGGATTTGCGGCACGGTGTGCGCACAACATTGCACCAGACTCCTGCTGCAAGTTATGCAAGGTGCCAAAGCGCCATGTGCTTGGAGACCTGTGTGAAGTGCCGTGTGTATGATAGACTGACTCCTGCCAGTTTTCAAATTGCCAAGAGGCTAAACTAGTGCCGAATACTCATTTTAATACCTGTAATTATCTCTGAGAAGCTTAAATAAATATGCCTCGTTTGCTGGTTTGTTTCATTTCCATGTGGCCAGCGAATGACTTTTCCCACGTTTCCAGCTCCATTAGAAGCAGCGTTCCTCTTTTATTCTACATCCTGGCAGCAGTGTCAGAGAGTTCAATGTGGATGTCAGAATAAAATTCATTAGCTGGTTAGTTTAGTTTGGCTGCTTTGTACCTTGTCATTCACTATTAAGAGAATTTTCCCATGAAACCTATTGAGCTTTTCTTGCAACAGTTTTGGACAATACAGCCTCTAGCTATGCTGCTTGTATGTGGTAAATAGATTAAAAACGGAAGAGGGAAATACTTGTTGCCCTGTGCCTCCACAGGAGCTGCAGGCCGCCAGGCAAAGATAATTGAGCAGCCACATTTTTTAGCCAGGCTTGTATAAATGTACAGAATTGCGTTCCCATTTGCCACACTAAAACAGATTAAAGACTGATGAGACCTGCTTCAGAAGCTATCCCATTGTCCCTGCTGCGGGACCGGGCAGGATGGCAAGGACGGCTGAGCGCAGGCTGCCCCTTCACCATCAGCCTTCGCTCCTGATCCCGTGCTCAGCAGCAAGCCGGCTGCCGACCACCTGACTGCCTTGGCAAAGCGCAGCAGCCACCACCTATCAACAGCTGCTGCTTTGGTTTCGCAGGATGTATCAGGCAGAGCGTGGCTGATTTCGGTATATACGCAGCATTTGCAAGAGGCAATATTCTCTGAATGCAGCGAATGAAGAGTTTGCACGCTAGGACTTTTTCACTTGCGCCAGGACTTTCTAATGTCATTTCAACCCCTCTTTGTGTGTATACAGAGTGATAAATGAATATATGTGATAGATGAATATGCAGAATTTTTACACGGTAGCTTTTAGCTATGTATACAGAGCAGGTGCGATGTGTGATATATATATATGTTACCGTTTAGATCAGATTTGTTCCAAAGCAGGTGAAAGTCTTCAGTAATATTTCTTGAAAAGAAAATGTAAGATTTTTTATCTTTCTGCTAGATTTTGGGAATGCAGCTCTGATGCTACATTTCTGAACATCTTCAAAGCTGGATATTCCTGTATCAATTAGTGGGGATAACGTTACGATGACCTGGGCTGTTAAATGAGTTATAACTATATATAAATTGATTCACCTGCAGGGACTGAAAGGAGCATTTGTTGATTCATGTTACTTTGTGTTACTTGTTTTGACAGGTGCATGGATGGCTATTATGGAAATCCTATCAAGAGAGAACCCTGCCGCCCATGCATGTGCCCCGAGGCACCTACTAGCAATAGGTATTTTGCACATTCCTGC